TCTTACACCACTGCTCTGTGTTGTATGTCCGTATCGACTAATGCTCAAGCTCCACTGGTGGCCATGGCGTCCTGCTGTGAGAGCTTCATGCGCCGAGAAAAAAATAGGAAAAGGAAAAACGCTGATCGGGCAAGTTGCTTTCAGTAACCAAAGCTCATGGGAAGATACAGCTTCAAGGAGAGAGAGAAGAAAGGGAATATAAGGGAAGGGAATATAATAGATGACAGGGAGCAGAGGAAGACGTGGAAGCCATAGAGAAATCAAATGTACTATTAAAAGACGTCCACGGAAGAGTTTGATTGGGAATTTACAGACTTGACCCATCTGTGTTCCCAAGACACAGTGTAAACAGGCTCAAACCAAATACAGCTTTTACCAATGACTAATTTAATACTGATTTATTCTTAATAGGCTCTGTGCCCAGCAGCACAGCCAGCTCACTGTGTCTCAAAGCTCACAGTCACTTTTATTAAGATGGTAAAACATTAAATAATTAACCTATTAAAAGTGCATTGTGCAAGGTGCATTTTCTGGTGGAGGGTCTGTTAAATACTTTTCTCCATGGAGATGTTATTGCTTTGTCTGAAATGTTTGTTATGAGTCGCCAGAGTCAGGGAGGCATCAAAAAACAATTTGGAAAAATGGTAAATTAAAGAAGTAATTTAATTAACAGGAATGTACAAGGTAAATAAAACAAAAAATCTAAAATACTTACAGAAAAATTAAAAGACACAGAGGGCAAGGTTAACTAAGAAAACTAATTATACAATAAAGGACTTTACAAACAAACACAAAGTCAGTACTGACAAGTGACAGAAAACTAGAGACACATTTTACAGAATCAAGTATAAAACTTTAACTGGTTTCAACTCTTTTAAAATATTGTTTCTATGAAAAAAAAATATATATATGCTTGATCCCTTATAAAATGGTAATTCCTGAAAGATATATATATATATATATATATATATATATATATATATATATATATATATATATATATATATATATATAATAAATGCTTGAAAATGATCACTTTTGATGACAATTTGTCAGGAAAACAGAGAGATTATTTTGTCTTTTGGGGGAGGCTGAGGGTGATATTTGACAGTAGAAAGGCAGCAAACCCCAGAATATTTTTTTCTACTAATTTCCCCATGTGTCAGGATACACCATGCTACATTTTAGGGTTATTTGACTATGTATGCAGTTGCAGTACCTTAATATTTCCAGTTACATAATTTTGCCAACAGCTTTTCTTAAACAAAGGTGTTTTTGGGCCCTGAGACCAAACGGGGCTGTGTTGGGGTTGGTCTTTATCAACTTGCGATGGCCCAAGATATAAGATAAAAAGAAATAATAGTTAAAAAAAAAAAAAAAAAAAAAAAAAGGAAGCAAAAAAGATCCTGAGGAGTGGATCTGGCTCCCGGCCTATTTGACAGAGACACAAACACACACAATAGCAGTAGACCTTTCAATCACCATGGAAACCAAACTAAAGGTCATACTGTGCATACATACATACATATATATGTATATGTGTATATGTATACATCGTTTTTCAATATAAAACCAAAATGAAAACCAGGCCGGGACCAGACCGGGACCAGACCCGGACTGAGATTGAGACCAGACCGGGACCAGACCGGGACCAGACCGGACTCCGAGCTTTGACTCAGAGCCTCCGTGGGGTCCGAGCCTCAGCTTCAAGCTCTGGCCCTGCCGTGGGCTCTGAGCCTCCGGTCTGGAACCGGTTTGGTCTCGGTCTCAGTCCCGGTCTCAGTTTCGGTCTGGTCCCGGCCTGGTCCCGGTCTGGCCTCGGTCTCAGTCCTGGTCTGGTCCCGGTCTCAGTTCTGATCTCTGTCTTGGTCTGGTCCTGGTCTGGTCTGGACCTGGATCAGTCCTGGTTCAGTCTGTATGCGGTGCAAAAGTCCGGCATCGCAGTCACGGAAGTCACGTAAACGGAAAACGGCCGTTATCCATTTTTTCCATTCTTCATTTAAACACAAAATCGAAAACTGAAAAAAACTAATCGTTATCCGTTTTTTCATTTTGGTTTTGGAGACAAATAATGAAGAAAACTGTTGTTTTTTCGTTTTTCAAATTTTTGGTTTTATATTGAAAAATGAATGAACGAATGATACACAGATTATATATAACCACAGAACTTCTGTTATTTTTATAATTATTTGTAGGCCTAGATGTAGAATCCTTAAATTTAGGCATTGTTTTAATATTCATTATGCCTCATCATTAGCATTAGTGTTGGCATTAAGACACATGCATCTCTTTTTCTAAACACTGAAGTGTCCTATGCTGAAGAAATCATTTTATGTGTGTACTTTTTAACATGTTGGCAGAGACTATAACCCACAGCTCCCTCTTCACTCTCTTATCTTTAAATATTTATTCATTTTATCACAACTCAGCAAGAGATACAACTGGACAGGAAGTGGTGACACTAACGTTGAGGTTTCCAGGCGCTGTTGTGCACAGAGACCATTACAAAAACACTGGACATGATGTTCCATTTATTTATGTTAGATTTGGTGTTTTGGTTCTCAAGACAATTATCCAGCCAGAACACATAATGACTCTCATTTGGGTTGCCAGTTTCAAAGCTGAAATCCAGTTGGTTTAACCTAAAATGCCTTTCTCAGATCTGATTTGTCACTATAAACCACAGCACCTACAGCCAGTCATGACTCAGTGCTAGTGCAGCCTCTGTAGCTCAGTGAGGGAATTCTGGAGGATCTGAACTTTCACATGAGGCCGATTCTGTTTGCAGAGACATCATGCTGGGGGTGTTCTACATGTATCTCTATGGCCGTTACGATGGAGACACAATGCACACATGAGCAAACAAGATAAGATAGTCTGAAAACTAAAAAAATACAAATTAATTTAAGCCACACATTTTCAGGAGCCTGTAATCAAAACAAGTGTTCATGGTCCTGTTTAGGAGTCTGATTTTCAACAAAAAGGTCCGAGGGACTGATTGAAAATGTGGGGATTTGTTTAACAGCACAAATTAGACATAAATCAGTTATTTCAGATGTGTTAAAATAAAGATCAGGTTAAGTTTAACTTGAGTGACACAGCTTCACCTTCAGGGAATGTTGATGACATCGGCTGCAAAGTATCAGTGACAGAGGAAAACTTCTATTTGTCCTCTGTATACATTAGGTCATACGTATCGCCTACACATTGTGATTGTACTACATTTTTAAAAACACTTAGGCTACATTTATATGATGACAGTCTGAACAGAAAACGCAAAAGTGGCGTCGCGTTAGGGCTGGGCCATATGGATCAAAAAATATATCTCGATATATTTTGCTATTTCTCGATATACGATATATATCTCGATATATGTTCAAGAAAAAATAACCCCCTAAAACTGAAAACTGCAAAAACAAATCTGCCAAATTCCACAAGGTCTTTTTTTTATTGAAGTGTAAGAGGTCGGCAGTTCATATAGGAACATTTAAGATTACAAAAAAAACCTAATTACATAAATAATAATTTAACTGTAAAATAAAAGAAATAATACATATTTCCTTCTTTTCATTCATAAATAAAACAACTCAAAACAAGCTTATCTTTGCATTAACTCTGTTATCCAAACCAGAACCAGAACCATGAGCTCATTTAGCAGAAGAAGCTCAGGATGTTCCTTATTTTAATAGATCCATGTTATTATCCAGCAGTAAGGAGCTCTGAAGTTTAATCCCACAATCCACTGCAGATCAAACCCAACGATTCCAAACACTATTGTACAAGTGACACTGCAGCAGATTATTAATTAAAATATTCTGCATAAATAAACTTTACATTGCTAAACTTTACAATATATAAAACATAACGACTCTAGAGCCACATCAGCCCGTTTGCGATAATAATGTGTTTAATGTAGTTTTGCGCACGTGTGTTTACATTTTACAGAAACTAAACTTAAGCGCATGACTCATTTGCATAAACAGCACTTCTCACGCAGCTCAACTCGTTCAGCTTCTTTCGGGCTGAAGGACGCGACTCGGTGGAATATGAGGATGTGCTGCTGGTGGTTTTGTCTGGTAATGGTGGAAAAGGTTCGTGGTGCTTGAAGCTTTTCACTGGCACCAACTTTCGGCGACAGTGAGGAGTGAAGGAGACACGAGCGAACAAAATCAGGGAGGCGGAGGCGCGCGGAGGCGACGAGAGAGAAGGTAAACAAGCGAAGCGGCAAAATCAGAATTGAATCTAAGCATTATATCGATATATACGATATGTCAGAATTCATATCGAGTTTAAAATCTATCTCGATATATTTAAAATATCGATATATCGCCCCCCCCTACGTCGCGTCTTCACTTTTTATTCCACGTTTGGACAAGCGTCTTCAGGAGGAAATCTGTATGCATACGGTGACGCAAAAGTGTGTGGAATTCAATTGGGTATGCATGCCAGACGGTGGTGGTGACTCTAGGTGGTGATGTATGTGACGTAAACGTGTACGCAACGAGAGCAGATCTGACCAGAGTTTTGCGTCACAGCGGAGCATATTCCGCTTTTCCACTCTGGAGGGTGGTTTCAGATTTTTGTGTTTTTAAGTCCAAAATCGCCATCACCGTCTAAACAAAAGGCACTAAAATATTTTGTTGTTTTACCTGCAAGCATTCTCGTGTAAACAGGCCCTAAGAGTGCAGGCCACATACTGTTCCTCTAGGCTTTCTCACGTCATAAATGTATAAAATGGAAAATTCATTGACTCTTTGATCTGTACAATATGCTTGTTATTGATTTACCTGAAATGTTCCACAGTATGACATTAAACTTGTGCATCTCCATGGAGACAAGCGTTGAAGTATTATTAAATCAAATATACTGTTGATAGCACTGCAAAACTGGTAAAACGGTGATTTTATTTAATGGCTGTTACTTATGAGGACATTGTATTCCAGACATTTCAGTCCTGTTAATATTATTTCATTCATCTTTGGTTTCTTTCGAAGTAGTTCGTTTATGTAGTCCATGTACGTGCTCATTTGAAGTGAAGGAGTCACTGAAGTACTCATGAGAGGAGGAGAAGGTCAGATGGTACTTGGCTGCAAACCAGACAGAAATTGCAATGTTAAAATAGCCACTTCTGACATGTGCTGATTCAACTTACAACGAACAAATCCAAACCTGAATGATTTTTTTAAAGCTGTACAGGCAAATTATCAGACTATTTAAAGGTCTAGAAATCAAAATGTACTAGTAATCTAATTTCTTCACAATTAAAATTATGCAAAAAATAGCAAAGAGAATGTTAAAGATTGAAGGAATTGTAGTTTCTGTTCCAAATACCACAGTTACTTTAAACCTCGATTCATTTACTGTGTTGCCAGACCAAGTTACTGATCAGGCCTGTGGAGGGGCAAGGTTTTGGAAGCAGTAGTAGTAGCAGTGGTAACTTTTATGTGTAATTTTACCTGATTTGTACTGTCTTTTAAAACGTGAAAAGCAGAACTAGTTCATTTTAAATTATTTGCAGTGCAGCATCCTAAACATGAGTTTGTAAGAGCGTTTCTCAACTTTCAGACACGAGAGCTGTGTTTTGCCGTAACAGATTAAACTAACAGCAACTAGCATGCTAACCACGCACTTCCTGCTTCTAGGTGTAGTATCTGAGCTTCAGGTTTATCTACTTAACTGCTTGCTGAGGCGAGATGCTTCACATATCAAGTTTTGCAGTCTTTGTATTTAGTAGTAGTAGTAGTAGTAGTAGTAGTAGTTTATTTGGTCATTTTGCAGCACTACAACTTCTAAAAATATTCTGTACTGTCAACAGGTTTTTCCAGTAAGCTGAGCACCCCCTGGGTTCCAAAATATATGTGGAATGTTTAGGTTTTCGCTCCATAAAAAGGGAATGTTTACGTTAGTGGGATGTACCCTAACAGGTTTTAAATAAGAGAAGGTTGCTGTGTTCGGGGTCTTTCCAAGTGTGCGAGTGAAGAACCAAGACTATTTCTGTCAATTGGCTAGAATGGAAGTATAAACTGCAGAGTATCGTTTTGGATCATTTCATCATCTCCACACCTGCGGGGGAAACTCAAGGCGACTCGAAGGAGATACGACACAGGAAAATAAAAAAGTTATTTTGACCTTATGATGTGCTTTTACAATCTATCTGTACTGGGGCAATTTTTCTCAGATGCAACAAATCGGGTATAAGCCCTTTAAGACATTTAGTTTAGTCAGCATTAATGTACTTTATGGTTTAACATGGTTTAACTCCTCTTGTATAATAAAAACATCTTTATATCGTACGCTATTTTTTAATGATGCACCAATCCATCTTTTTTCTGTTCTGATACCAATGCCGATACGTTGGCTCAAAAGGGGCAGTTCAGAATTTTGGACATAGGACCTCATTTCCTAGTGAACCAGAGTGTTGGAGACGTGTGGAGACACTTTTTAAAATATTCCATCCAGTCCTTGTATTTGCAGAGGTCACTGGTGCTAGGCTCGTGCATGTCAATGGCCATAGTTATCTTGCCACTAAAAACAGTCTTACCCACTCCACCAAACACCTGAAGCAAATTTATTATTACACCAGACTGTTGATGTGAATGTCTGTGTCGATAGAATAATGTTTGAAATAAAACTAAACTTGCATCGCATGAATCATTGCATTTTGAGGGACTATTTTCTCATATATCAGTCCGCCGCTGCCAAGCTTTCTATCGGGAAGTACAACTCACTGCTGCTGCTCAGACATAAATCCTTCAAATGCAAGGTTGGTTTTACTTCTAAAATTATTCTATCAACACAGACATTCACATCGACAGTCTGGCGTAATAATAGATTTGCTTCTGGTGTTTTGTGGAGTGGGTAAAACTGTTTTTAGTGGCAGTCAAACTATGGCCATTGGCATGCACTAGCCTAGCACCAGCGACCTCTGCAAATACAAGGACTGGAAGGAATATTTAAAAACTGTCTCCACACGTCTCCAACACTCTGGCTCACAAGGAAATGAGGTGTTATGTTCAAAATTCCAAACTGTCTCTTCAAGTGTCTGCCAAAAAAAAACATTTATTTTCTCTGAACACAATCGATATATATGGTTAAATATTACCTAAACGTGTCTTGTAACTGTGATTAATCATTTAGAGTAGCTACAGAACAGCTTTGAACAAAATACAAGTTCAATAATATGAGGGCAACATTGGTCAGTAAATAATCTTGTCAGCAATCTTGGAACCGATATCCGATCCATCTAAATGTTCAATACCAGAAACATATTGGTGCATCCCTACTATTTTTAACCTAAAAGTTGTATTTTTTTTTTTTTTTTTTACAATCTGGGGAATCCTGTGTTACCCAGAAACACAGTAGATTGGGACAAAACTGTGCAATATGTCCTACACTGAGCTCCACAAATCCTCGCTCCCCTTTGCCGTTCTCTCTTCCTTTTCCTGCATGAGCCTGGTTACAGCCGCGGCCTCCCGTTGTGTTCGCTGGAGCCTGCTGGTGTAGAAGAGGCTCACGCTGCTGTCAGACGGTATAGCAGGTTATGCAAAGACCACAGCGCAACTTATCTGTGTAAACAAGCCTATAGGGAATTCCATTAGCCTGACCGCTCCGGCTGCACGGAACGACTTTAAACTCTATTTGAGGATACAATGCAAAGTAAATACAGGATTTGAACAGAAGATGAACATATAGTAAAGCTGTTTGGCTCTGTGATAATTAAATTGAAGTTTATGCAGAGTTAATGTTTATTGAGATTAGATGTTTAGACTTACACAAACTTTATTGATCCACAAGGGAAATTATTTGGACACAGGAGCAGTAGCGTCTTTGCTTCTCTACTGCAAAACAAGTAATCCAAAGTATTCAGATTACATTACTCACTTTAAGTAATTTATTGGGTTACAAACTACATTTTGGTGTATGTAATCTGTAATCTGCAAAAATAACCTTCCCAACACTGGCCATCATGAAATAGATTTTTAATTTTAATTGTAGAATCAGTCTGAGTTAACGAGTTACTTATGTTTTAATCATGACCATAATGTTAGTTTTGCTCAGGAGTAGTTCACTAATGCTCATCAACATTCGCTTTTATGTTTTCGTCTTTCTTACCTTGATAGTTGTGGATAAATTCTTCATGGACAGAAAATGTCCTTTGTCGATCTTATTGGGTGAAGATTTGGTGATGGGGAGGCAGATTTATGAAGCTGGTGGAAAATACATGTCCACACATATTTTGCCATAAAAAAGCTTTAACCAGGAGTTACGTTTCCCCTACATTGTGACACTTCTGGCCGTTGTCAAAAAGGTCTATTGGCGCAGTTACTGAAAAATGTGCTTGATCTGGTATTGTTTCAAACGATACTATGACTGCTCATATAAATCAATGTTGTTGTTTTTTTGCTTGTTTTTTTACTGGTTGTAGACGGCCCCTCCAAAAAAAATGTCATAATGTTTGAACTTTTATGACTCAAAGCTATTCTGTAGTTACTTGAGAAGGATTTTTTTTCCCCCTTCAGATTGATTAGTTGACTTAAAAGGGAGCGCGGCAAAAGCTCTCAAAACTATTAAATATCTCTTTGTATCTGACCCAAACTGCACTCACAAGACTTCACACCTGCACGGCAGTTCATGCACCATGTGTTGATATAAAGACAGACTGAACTTTTGCCTATCTGAAAGCTGATGGTTTGATCCCAGCATGTTGTGTCCTTGGGCAAGACATTTCAAATTTGCCTAAATACATTGATTGCTGCTCAAACATTCCTCTCACCATGGCCATTGTCCCATTTACAAACTTTTGTCCATCTCCACCCTCTCCTCCGTGCGTGTGCAGTCAGCCAACCCGAGTGCCATGTAGGGCCCACATCCATGACGCCACAATTAACATTTTCAAAGTGAATAGTCCATTTTTTTGTTAATTGACTTGGGGGAGGAGAGTTGTACTATAAAATATAAAAGGGGCCTCCCACCACCACAGAAGTAGTGTGTGTTAAGCTTAGGGAAGCTCGCTGGTCTTGCTCAAACTCTCCAGTGGCACATTTTTATTTGAATTTCACAAATTTGAATATGTTTTACAAAAATATTACGTTGTAAAATGTAAACACAATATAAATATACAACTTGGCGTTGTTATTTTTTAAAAGTCAAACCTAAAGACATGGGTGCCATGGAAACGGTGGAACTATAAAACATTCACATTCTAGAATCTGAAATCGACCAAAGGCAAAACATCACATGACTGACGTCATGGTAACGTCTGTGATGTCACAAAGGTCCATATGTATATATAAGTATATAAGGTAGGTAGAACAGTCATTTGCACAGAGTGATCGGTCGAGAAAGCCCACATAACACGTCGTACAACAAGCACAAAATGTCTGGACAAACAATGCCTTTTTATCTGCAGGACTACAGTGTCCTGCGGGTGCTCAGTGAAGGTTCTTTTGGACAGGTGCTGCACTGTCTGAAGGGCACAACAGCCGAAACTGTGGCAGTGAAAGTCCTGAAGAAGAAGGGCCAGTACTATCCTCAGAGAGAAATGGCAATGCTCCAGAAGGTCCGGCATCTGGACCCTGACGTGTGTCACATTGTGAAATTCATGGACACATTTGTTTGCAATGATGACACATGCATGGTGTTTGAGATGCTGGACTGCACCTTGCTGAACTTTTGGACCCAGCGTAACAAGAATTTACAACTGAGTGAGATCAGGGCCATAGCCCAGCAGCTTCTGGTGGCCTTTAAGGCTCTTAGAGAGCTCGACATTGTCCACACTGATCTGAAGTTGGACAATGTGATGCTGGTCAGTCAGATAAATCAGCCATTAAAAGTCAAGCTGATTGATTTTGGACTGGCACACATGCAGTCGGAGCTGAAGATGGAGTTCACACATCAGAACATTTACTACCGGGCTCCAGAGGTCAGTCTGGGACTGCCTCTGACCCAGGCCCTGGACATGTGGTCCCTGGGCGTCATGCTGGTGGTTCTCTACCTTGGGAAACGTCCTTTCTCTGGTTCCTCCCCATACAACAACCTCAGGACCATTATTAGTGTTCTGGGAGCTCCATCAGACAGGCTGCTGGAG